GCCGATAGCCATAATTCTGCACTAAGCATTTAAATAGTTTACCATATAAACAAAGCTGAAGTAAAAAATGAAATACTCAAAAGTTCGCTGTATGTTTTGTGGACTATAAATTGTCATTCTAAATACAAAGAAAGTTTTGCTCATTCATAATTATGCAAAATTATGTAGCTTGCGCAGCAGGTTTTTTACTAATCTAGTTGAAAAGCAAAATCGAACAGTTACTAATGATTTAGCTCCACAAGGCCTGTCTCCAGAACATTACCTAACAAGAGTTGCTCAAATGGTGAAAATGCGCAGATTAAAGATTCAACTCACCACGAAGCGGATCAATCCATAACTAGCACTGACTTAGTAACTTCGGAACAGGTAGTTAACACAATTTTCAATACATCTAACCTTAATGAAACTTGCTTCGGAAAATCCAAATTATTGGAAGATAAAGAAATTGATGTCTTTTTAGATTCAGAAAATAAGAAAAGGGTTAGTGATGAGATAAGGCAGAGAAATATGGAAAAAAAGCTATTACATAGTAATGAAGCTTCTGCTTCTCGGGATGCTTCAACGGGATCTGAAAAGACAATAACATCTTTATATGATACAAAAACCGTGACAAAATGTCACGATCTTAACAATTCTGATATTACCTCCGAAATACTTGAATCATACAATCAAATCGTAGAAGGTTTAATACAAGAGATGACCTATGATCAAGCAAAAAATATTGTTTCTTCCGAAATCAATCCTTTATATTTAAATAATGATAAGTATATGGCTCCGGATTCTGTGCAAAGTTTATCTGACTTATTTGATAAAGCAATTAAATCTGGTCAAAAACAAATTTTAAATTGGTATTATTATTCTCTAGAATTCGAAAATAACATTAAAAGCCTTACAGCAGATGGTCAGATTAAAGATAAAACAGCAAGATCAAAAATATATAAGGAAATGAAACCTTTTCTACCTAATATCACAGATGCAAATTTGCGTAAGAAAACTGAAAGAGCGAGAAAAATTCTTAAGCTATTTGGTGATAGAGGAGTAGGCATAGATAAAATCGAATACATTACATATAGTGCAAGTACAATTTCGGGATTGAAAAATACTCAAATTCAGCATATCATAAATGAGGTGACTTCAAAAACTGTGACAAACTGTCACGATCAGATTAATGTAGAATTAAATGTTTCAGTTACATCATCTCGTCAACCAATTCCTAGAACTAATCCAAATAAGATGGAATGTCTTTATCAATATGCCATCGAACATGGAATGGATCCCGATAAATTTTCAGTCATTACTGAGGCTGAGAAAAATAGGTGGGCCATGGGATGTTTTCGTGAGGACTTGGAGAGGGATATACGGTTCTATCGCGGTGGAATAAAAAGTAAAGAAGACCCTAGAAAATATCGTAAATTTTTAACAGATCGGGAGAGGCTGGTTGGTGAAGAGTTATTACGTCGCAGTATACTAAAAAGCGGTTTAAGTACTGCATGGTTAGATAATCTGATGAAAGAATGGGAAGAAATCTACACTCAATTCATACAAATTTTTAGCCAGACATAGCGAGATCCAGAGTCTTTTACATATCTCGGATAATTATTTAATACAGTAGGCAATTATATATGTTACATGAACTTCTATGTCGATCCCACTCGTGATAATTTCCTGGTTTAACGATTACTTCGTTCTGTTACGGTCGGGAATTAAATTGGGGTTTTGGGAGAGCGATTTATCTTTTCGTGTAGGTGTGTTCGCCGACCGGGGG